GACTAAATTTGACAATAAATAGTTTGAAAATATTTTTCACCCAACACTTAACAATAGCCTCTACCTCAAGAGGTAGAGGAGCCAAATGGCTGGCTCACTGCTGCCAACTAGTGGTCAGAGGCTGAACTACAACATAAAAATGAACGGCTGGCTGGAAAGTTGACATTTTAAACCTTAATAAAAAAAGTATTGATACAGTATCGGGAAATGAAATATCGCGATATTTCAGTGTATCGATATTTTCTTACACCCCTATCTGATTGTGAACTTGTAGTTTCTGATGTTTGGACTTTTTAACTTAAAATGATAAATAAAACAGAAACAAGCATGACATCAACAAACCAAGCTCTTATCATATCTTCTGTTGAATTCTTAAATAGATAATCATGATTTTTGTATAAACTACAGAAATTATTTTTACTTAAAGCAGCAAAATGTCAGCTAATACTAGAAGAATACTAGGTAAAAGTTTAAAAGACTGTGTAAAAGTAACAAAAATGCTAGCTAAAAGCTAAAAATATTATCAACTGGCTAAAACAGTAAAAACTAGCTAATATCCTAAAAGTTGAAGAATGGTAGCTTAAAGCCAAAAATAGACGAAGCCTAACTGAAAATATCAAAAGGCTAGCTAGAAGTTAAAAGTGGCAGCAACTGGCTAAATGCATTCAAAGGCCTAACTAAATGCTAAAAACAGTACTGGATATAAAAAAAATGCTGGTATCAGAATGGTAACTTAAAGCTAAAAGTAGCAAAGCCTAACTAAGTAAGAAAAGGCTATTTAAAAACTAAAAGTAGCAGCAGCTGGCTAAAAACAGTAAAAGTTTAGCTAAAATGCTATAACTTGCAGAGTGGTAGCTTAAAGCTTAAGTTGCACAAAGCTAACAGACACATGTATCTAAAAGCTGAAGGCAGCTAAAATCATCGAATGATTGACTAAAAGCTAAAAATAATAGCAACTGGCTAAAAACCATAATAGGCTAGCTAAAATGTCAAAAGTAGCAGAATGATAGCTTAAAGCTAAAAATGTCAAAGTCTTACTAAAAGTATCAAAGGTTAGCTTGAAGCTAAAAGTAGTAGCAACTGGTTAAAATGGTTAGCTAACAAAGCGTAGCAAAAGAATAGCAGTTGATGTAGCACAATGATTGCTAATAGATAAACGTATCAAAAAGCTAAATGCCCCCACAAACTTGGGAGTACTTCACTCTGTGGAGGTCCGCGCTGACTCAGGGTGGACATTAAGGGTAGCTGAACAGCAAGATCTCACTGTGTTTCTATGAGGAATAAATAAATAAATTATATTAAATGTATTGAGAAATATTTAAAAAAATCGTAATAACCAAAGGTTTTAGCATCCATCTCCCAAACAAGCTGAACATTTTGATGTATGAATGTCTAAAATAGCACAAAGTGTGTAGTAAGGACTGCAAAAAAAAACTTACAGAAAAATAAAAAAAATAAAATTTTGCATTAGTAGATGATGATCCTAATTAACCGAGTTATTAATTACCCATGTGGTGTTTTATTGCTCGACTTCAGTGAGCATTACGTTCTGAAATCATCACTTCTGTTTAAATACAGACATGCAAAAGGTGTGGTTTGAGCTTCTCAGGGAACATAGCAAACAGGCACAGACAGGTATGAGACCGACTGAAACACACATTTCAGTGGTTAACCTCTTTAGAGCAAAACCTCCATCGTCTCATCTGCTGATTATATAAAGGAAATGAAAACCTCGTTTGTTCTGCTCAACTACTCCCCCATTAAAACTGATTAAAATAATAAAATATTAAATTTGGGTAAGTTTGAGTGAAATGTGTTTAATAGTAGAAGCTTTTATTTTGCTAACAGCTTCACCTTGGTGATTGTTGTCTAAGAGGTAGACACTAGATTTTGATCTGGGTTTTGTATATTTTAATTTTAGCCATTAGTATAATAAATTTGAGATTAGTTTGTCACTTTAATGAACCGCATTAAGAATTTTAGCAGCATTTAGGAAACGGGCCAACAGTTAAAGCACGTTGTTAAGTTTAGCCATCTTCCTGGAGAATGGCATCACGGGCTGAAGACAGGTTCTGCTGAACCAGAACTGAGTTTGTTCAATGTGCTGGAGGTCTCCTGGACTTCAGTGAATAACATGATCAGTTTTACAGATATTATACAGATCTTAGTCTAAATCTGACATGTAGGTGGCGAGTTCTTTCATTTAAATAAATATATTTAATTATTTGTAGAGTTGTCGCTAAATAAAACCGGCTGCATCTTTTTCTGTTTCGTAGTACACAAAGGTCCCGTGGTTGTCCAATCGAAGACCAAAGACCAAAGAAAGAAACTTCACCACCAGCCATGTTTACACGTGGTGAAGGTGTTTATGGTCAACTGTCCCCTAGTTGGTCCTATCTGTCTAAAAGATGTTTTTCATGAAACTAGTGGTTTGGTTTTAGGCAGCTTAGTAAACCGATAGTCAACGCAGTCATTTCACATTTGTAAAATAACCTTCCTGTGGAAAAATTGACTCCTAATTGTTTGAAGTGTTTTTGTAGTGTCGATGGGCAGCAGCAGCTGCTTTTTACTGTCTTTTCTTACTGCCAAACTGCTTCAGAGCACCAAACTAATACGACTCCCGCTTTTACAGGCACTCACATTTTCTGATAAACGTCAAAGATGCACAGCGAAGGGTATCTTCAGTCGTGGTGTTTTCTTTTCCTTTCTCAAGGCAGATTAAGCTCCTAAATCTAATCTTTGTTCATTAAAATAAAGCAGAAAGGCAGAAAATTTAAACTGTCAAACAGCAGCGTGTGGATCAGGTCAGAGCCTCCCATTTAAAACTAGTTTGGAAAACATGGACTAAAGTAAACATCTTTCGTTTAAAGTACAGGCGTTTCTTGTCTGCATTGTGATTCTTCACTTTACACTTATTGGTCTGTTGAGATTGTTTTGGGCTGAAAACAGGCAATTTCTGACTCCTAATGTCGTATTCTGATAGTCTGTCTCTAAAACAAAACATATCTTTTTCTATCCTTGCACAATTCTTTATATTTTATTTTTTATTATTAGTAGTTGTATCATGGCTGGTCAGTGTTTTTGTTTTGTGTACTGTAAGAAAATATGTGTTGTTCAAAATGGTATGTCCGAATAAACAGGATTCAGCTGGATTTCTTGTTAAAAACTTTATTGTCAGTCCTCTGACTCCAATCAGGTTCTTTCAGCGCTCAGCAGCACAGGCCTCAGCGTACAACCTTGGGCCAAACCAAAACAAACACGGGAGCTCTGCTCTGAGCAGACACTCTGCAAAACACTGACAACTTATTTCTACTATAATAATGAATTGAGCTTATAATGTTTATCCCTTCCTGGTTACACCCCAGTGGTGTTACCTTTTACATCAGACGTCACAGTTTTGTTTAGGCTAAGAGAAAGAACACATGATAACACACATACACCAACTCTTTGTCTGTTTTAACCTTACAGACTGAAATGATCAGAAAGTATAAAATATAAAACTGAATCTAATATTCAATTAATCAGTTACAAAATTTCTTCAGAGTTATCTATAGTTTGTAAAGTAACTAGTGTGTGAACCTCTGTACGGATGCTGCTGTGACACCTGAATTTCCCCTCTGCGGGACAATAAAGGCTATTTCTATTCTATTCTATTCTAGTCTTCTATTCTAAAGAAAGCAGATTGTGGCAGAAGCTGTTTTTTTCTGTAATTTAACTCTGAAACGTGTCAACTATCTGTGTTTATATATTTAAACAAAACAACAATAAAAGTCTTTGTTGTGGATCCAAAGCAGACATTTAACATGTAATAAATAGACACATGGACTTAGTGCAACATTCATCATTCTGCAGCTCAGACAGCTTAAAACCCCCCACAGGCGGTCTGTTGTTGCTAAAGCTTTGCATGCCTTTACTGCTGACTCAAGCTTCTCCAGAATAAACCTGCATTCCTACAAATCTCATAAAGGTTTAAAACGTTTCCTTAAAAAGTCGGAGCAGGGTGTTGTTTACACTTCCTGTAAATATCCAGGAACTAAAGAAATCAACGTGTCCCATATTGTCTCACGCAGGATTCTAGAGAATCAGACGTTTCTTTTTCACGATGCACCAAATGTTTTCGATTAATAAGGAGCCAGGACTGCAGGGATCTTCTGCTCCAAAGCCTTGCTGTTGCAATGGTTTAACATTGTCTTGCTGAATTATGCAAGGCCTTCCTTCATCTGGATGGGAGGTTACATTGTTCTAAACCTGAATATCCTTTTCTGCACTGATGCATGCATGTCGACTTGTACGGATTGTCCGTAAGTTATAAGGATTTTATGTCATTTTGCAGGTATACGGACGTATAGAGCAATCTCACGGATTTTTTCAAGTCTTACGGATTTTTTCAAAACCTTGTTTTCAAATTTATCTAACCTGTCAGATCCTGCAGGACGATGCAGTTTACTTGGCATCTGAAATTGCATTTCCTCAAATGTATTTTTAATCTGAAAAGAGCTTCACTGAGTGAGAACTAATGTTAGGAGCTCAGAAGACAATTTAAGTTTCACTTTCACTTTGCTCTGTTACTGCGGAGAGCCTGCAGGAGTCATGGGCGGGGTGTGTGGGGTGTGGGATGGGGTGGTGTGCTCCGTGATGAGGAAGCTCGACTTAAAGACACGTCCCAGGGGCGTTTCTGGTACCAAAAGGCGTTTCTGGTGGTCCCAAAAGTCGTTTTGCTCCTCAGCATGGCTTCCTAAAAACGCTGCAGGATTTCTCAAACATGCATGAATGAGTCAAAGCAAGGCTTTGGGCATGTTTTTTTATGAGAGTATAACATTAGAACATGATATAAAACTGAAAAAAGTTGATTTTACATGATGTTGCCCCTTTAAGAGTTAATGCCATAAAATTAGTGTGGCGCAGACACAGTAAAACAAATGAGGAACGACCTTTTAATTGTTAAAGAACTATAATTGTGTTCCTGCAGCCTGTAATCAGCTGGTGTAGTATAACAAACCGCTGTGGGAGCTTTCCTTTAAAACCTGGAAGTGATGCTGTTTGATGAAGCACAGGGTGGGGTTATTAATGACAGCAGCTCATAGTGAGATAAATGAAGAGCTCAGAAACAGACGTGTTGTTTCTGTGTGCAGAACAGGACGGGGGTGGGTGGTGGTGGGTGGGGGGGGTCTGGAAACACAAGAACCTCCTCTGTATCCTCGGGGAATGCTGTCTGAATATTTGGGAGGAAGTGTGTGTGTGTGCATGTGAGCGAGAAAAAAAGTGAACATCTCATGCCGTCTGTACAGATGGGTATTTAGCGTTCTCAGATTTACTTTGCAAACCAAAAATACACAGTAAAACAGGAAGACGCAGTTTCACAGACGACCCGTAGATGTTTTAAGACATGTGCACGGTTCATGTTTCGTTCTGATTAAAGTTTAGGAACTCTTTTGAAGTTTGGAGTTTTTATCGCCTGCTGCCAGAGACGAAGGTGGAGTGATAATGTTAGCGACCAAAATGTTTCATGAAGCAGTGGACGGATATTAATGAAACTCACAGTTATAAATCGGTCAGTTTTACAAATACTGAGCTCAAGTTTGACATGTTAGGAGCTGAGAGTCCTTCACAGCCCATGACCTGGCATGACAGGAGGTGGGTAATATGCATATATTTATTTCAAACAAAAAACGACGCAGATAGTGCTTCGAGCTTTTCACGTTCCTCTTAGGATCCATTGTGTTGTGATTTTTATTTAGATTTTTCTTTTGTCTGACTGTGTTTGTTTTTATCAGCAGTGACTCTGAGGCGGAGCAGAAAGGAGCCAACATGCCACAACAAAAGGACATAGTGAAAATAGCCATCCAGATGCCTGGGGCCTACCCTCAGCTCATACAGCTGGACCAGGTGAGAACAACTGGAAATGTCTGATTTACGTCACAAACTCATCTAAAATGTTATAAAATTAAGTGATCTTTCGTTCTAATTGGTAGAAATTGAAAATAGCATTGTTTTCCTGCTTATATATGTTGTTTTTTTTCACTGTAACTAATACTTTTTTACATTTGATGAAAGAAAGTTTGTTTTAGTCCGTTTGATTTGAAGTGATACATTTTGTCTTATTGCGCAACCTTCTGCTCATATTCGCGATGTTTCAAAAACTACGCAGGCCACAGGTGTCGACGTCATCGTGGCAGATTTGATAACATCAGTTTGTTAAAACAACTGTTTTTATTGTACGACCCGGTACTCGGCGTGAGTCGGTGCAGAGTCCCACCTGCGCTGCCGATGACCCAACGTTTGCTGTGATTGTGGGGAAGTTTTCCATTTATTTCCCAGAAACTTTGAGGAAGTTGTACTTCCTTGTGCAAGACACTGCAAACGAGTTGGAACTGTAGAACAGAAAACAGGGGTGTGTGTTTGCATAACGTCACTTTCTGTTACTGATTGCAACATTTCAGAATGAACTGAAATGGTTTTGATGCTTGAACTAATTGAGGCCATCTTAAACATCATTTTTAAATCTTTCCATTGATCTCTTCAGGGAATCCCCTTGTTTTATCGTTTAGGACAGTTGCAGTGGATTAAAATGTCTGTCAGCTGTTCAAATGAGTTTATTTTAGATCACAACCAATCTAGAAAAATCCCCCCACTGGCCCCAACCTTTCCAGCAGGCGCATCTGATTAGTTCGACCCGGTGAGCAGCCACTAATAACAGACCGTCCACCGGGTCTACCGCAGAACCTGAACACATTTTGACTGTGTAACCGCCACACTGACCACTAATAACAGCTTAGCTGAGAGGCAGACATGGAACCAGTCTGGCTTTTATTTACATCCAGAATGGGATCCTGGCACCGAGGGTTACGTTCAGAATCTAACGTGTTTGGAGAGGATTTCCTCTTCGTAGCAAACAAGGTTTACAGCCAGCGTGAATATCTGTGGTGTCGTTATCCCAGAACAACATGTCATTAGTGAAGCATGGGTTCAGCTCCCTCACAGAGAGAAATACTTGAATAGTGAAAACCTTGTTGTTACGACACACATGTACGTGTGTGTGTTTTCATGTCACCCACCACCGATCCGTGTGCTTGTTCTTCGTCTGTTGCTAAAATATTTCACAAACCACTGGATATTTAATGAAACTCAGAAAGTAAGTGGTTAAAGCAGTAAGAGTGGGAGGTTTGATTCCAGCAGTATTCAGTAACATGTTGAGATGTCTCTGACTGAAACATGAAGCCCTCATTGCCTCTGATGTGCCTCGTCGGTCCAAACACTGATTAGACTACAGAGTTATCAGGTTAGCTTTATAAAGATGTAGTAGAAACTGTATGAATGTGTGTGGACGGGAAAATCAGGGCACAGGTTGTGTTGTAAAGCACTTTGGTTCGAAGGAAACTATATAAGTACAGTTTGTTGGCAAAGAATAAAGCATTTTGTAGTTTCAATTACTAGCAGAGCCTAACTCTTCCGGTTCACAGGTCAACAGATTTATAGCTTAGATATTTATTAAATATTTCATCAATGATAAAGAAAAGTACTGATCCATCGTGGTGAAGCTCTCTATTTACCAGCCGGTGGTCTACGTTCCTACCCTCATCTATGGTCACGAGCTTTGGGTAGTGACCGAAAGAACGAGATCKTGGATACAAGCAGCCGAAATGAGTTTCCTCTGCAGGGTGTCTGGGCTCTCCCTTATATAGGGTGAGAAGCTCAGTCATCCAGGAGGGCCTCAGAGTAGAGCCGCTGCTCCTCCACATCGAGAGGAGCCAGTTGAGGTGGCTCGGGCATCTGGTTAGGATGCCTCTCTGGTGAGGTGTTCTGGACACGTCCCACTGGGAGGAGGCCCAGAATACGACATGGTCTAGGGATAGTCAGTCCTGGTCCTCGAGGGCCGCAGCCCTGCACGTTTTTCTTGTTTTTCTGCTCCAACACACCTGATTTGAACGAATGGATGATTTTCAGGCTTCTGCAGAAMTTGAAGAGGTAATTAACTGACTGAATCAGGTGTGTGAGAGAAGGGGAAAAATAAAACGTGCAGGACTGTGGCCCTCGAGGACCAGGATTGACCATCCCTGGTCTATTTGGTGAAATGATACATATCATGACACAGGGGTCATGATAAGTATCGTGATATATTGCAATACTCTAAGCAGGGCGATATATTGCCATTTTTTTCCCCAAAAGATTCTGTTTTTAACAACTCAGTTTAAAGATAAAACTCAAAGGTCATATTTCTTCTTACACCCTTTTGTTAAGCCTTAATTAAAAAACCATACAGTATCAGGAAATAAAATGTCGCGATATTTCATTGTATGGATATTTTCTTACACCCATGTTAAGCACTTAATTGTCTCTGACTGTTTGTTGTGTTTGTGCAGAAAAAGCCTCTGTCAGCTGTGATTAAAGAGGTGTGTGACGGGTAAGTTGCTTTGTTTGGTTTCTTCGTTCTTACTGTTGTTGGTCGTCTCTAATGTGTTTTTATCTGCGTGCAGCTGGAATCTCCCGGGTCCTGACAACTACGCTCTGCAGTACGCTGACGGAGTGCAGATGTACATCACTGAATCGGTCAGTCGCACGTCTAAACAAACATTCAGAGTCCATCTGGTGGATGTCTGAGAAGACTGCGAAATCCTCGAGCAACAGAAATGAATCATTTTCTTGTTTGGGGTTCGAGGAGTTGTAATTTCTGAGATTTGTCAGCACAGCTGTGGATGACTGAATCACTGCTCCGTCAGCTCTTTTTTTTTTTTTTTTTKTTTTTTTTGTTTCCACTCAGTCCAGAAGTAGAAGAAAGTAGGTCACAAACTGTTACAGGAGCTTTCAGAAACGACTGTTAGACAAAGTAATAAAAAAAGAAGAAGAAACAGCTGAATGTTTACTAAACATCTCAGTAAGCGGAGAGGGAGGGTTTTACTGGAAGGATGTGAACTTCCAGGCTCTGAAATGAGTTTGTAGTTAAATACAGATGTTTTAGTTTAGGAGCAGCGTCTTGATGAGCTCGTGGAACATTTGACTGGATTACATGTAGAATAATAATGACTGGGATTATTTCCAGATTTCGACAGCAGTGACTTCAGGAATTCCCCTTTTTAATCTCCCAACAAAGTTCCTTTGTTCAAGCTGACATTTTTTCATTTTCCTAAACACTATACATTAATTCACAAAATGTCATTTACTTTATTTGTTGTTATTTGTGACTGTGTTTGCCACATTATGAGTTTCTGTGTCCGGATCCTCCTCGTCATCGCTGCACTCTGTCCACCTTGTAATTTAACCAAACTGTTGCTGAGATTGGTGTTTTTGTTTCTGTTCTTCTCTCTGCATTTGTGTAGAATCGTCTGGACATAAAGAACGGCTGCATCCTGCGTCTGACCAAGGCACCGGTGAGTCTGTAACCAACACGGACTCCTGCCGTGTTCAGCTTATTGCATTTAATGTCAGGCTGTTTCTGTTCTGCGTGCAGCAAAACACAACAGATTTTGTGTTGATTGCAGGGTTCCTGCAGATTCTTAAAGTCTTAAAAAGAATTGAATTCATCAATGCAAAAATAAGGTCTTAATTAGTCTTAAAATGTCTTAAATCAATCTTCAGAAGTCTTAAAAATGTTAACACATTGTAAATAGGATGATTGTGATTCATCTCAAATATTAAAATAATTGGTAAATTATTTTTTTAAATATTCACATGCAGACATTCCCCTTTGACATCACTTCCTGTTTTTTCACATGAAAATGGCTGTGTCCAAAACGACAGGCCGGGTCCTCCGGAGGACCCAGACTCCCCGCTCGCGGCGGGCCGGGTCCTTGGTAGACCGGGAAGACCGGAAAAAAGAGGCTGTGAATTTGGACGGTCTAGCCTCCACTCCTTACCCCGGTGTACGTCTTGTCATCTAGCAACTGTGACGACGCTAAACAAGCAAACTTAAATCAAAACTAGAAAAATATCAATATATTAGCATTATTAATATCAYAAAACTATAAAATTAACTTAAAGGTAACATTTGAAGAACTAATTGACCCGCTGTAGGTGCATGTTTATTTCGCGTTTTTTTATGATAAAAATAATATTTTAAAACATGTCCATACAAATGATAAAAGTATTAGAATTACAACCGCTAATTTTTTTAAAATTTCCATATCACCATATTTTTATTTAAAATGTATTCTTTTCTCTCGCTTTGTCCGCCATTACTAACTTAAACAAATCTCCGGTCGGGCCGCAATGCATTATGGGATATGCTGGGCCGGGAAGGATCCATCAGACCTGTCCTTCAAATCGGGGGAAAGGAAGGATGTATTTGTCGGCCGCATCGGAGGAGTCTTCGGTTTTGGACGTCCTTTGTCGCGGCGCTGTGACGTATGCGGCCGACGAATTCGGCCTTCAGAGGACCCGTCCTGCCGTTTTGGACACAGCCAATATCTCAGTTGTCCATCTGAGCAATGTGAAATTCATTTTCTAATGTTGACTTTCCAAAAATGCATTCACTTTTCTTACAAAATTGATGTTACATACATATTAAGGTTTCATCTACAGCAAATTGGGGTTRAGAMYCCACTGTGGGTCCTAAAATTCCAAATTTTGGGTCATTAGAGGATTTCCAGGAATTAAATTAAGTTGAAAACTGACTGCTAAGAATGTTTCTGCTATAGTTAGAAATGGATAAAAACAGTTGGTCTGTTAGCAATATCTGAATACTTCAACCAAATATACTTTGATTCATGAGTTTCTGCCCGTTTTTAATTTTTTGTCATTTGTGTTTATTATGAAATTGGTCTTAAATTTAATTTTACTTGGCATTAAAAAGTCTTAAATTTAACTTGCCTTAAACTATAGAAACCCTGGATTATCACAGCGAACTAAAAGAGAACTTGATAAATTCATTTGGACGTTTGTTAGTGGCCAAAAATAAAACTGTGTAAAACTCTAGAAATTTTACTTTTATTTTACTATGAATAAAATAACCAACAACCACGACTCCAAGAAACAAGTTAGTGTCTTAAAATTGTGAGAAAATGGGCATAAAATCACTTTATTCGTCATAATGATCACATGCACAATTTGTAAAACTGTATGCCCACTTCGTCTCATTTTTTCTTTTTTTTTTTCTTTTTTAATCTACTGGAGTACAGATTTTAAATGAGTGCAGGCAGATGTGGAGTTTTTCAGGTGTGTTTTCAGACCTGAACATTTGGATGTTTTCTGTCAGGAAACGCAGCCGTTATCACTTGTGAAAGCAAAGGGGTCACATGATTTCACGAATATTTTATTTTTCTTCTGAATAAATAAAAGGCCATATTATTTATGTATTTATTTGTTTATTTATTTATTTAAATTAGTGGGATGTTTTGGTTTTGATGAGTACGTTCTGTGTTTTCCCGTCATGCTGGTGACCTCAGGGTCGCTGTGCAGAGGACTTGTTTAAGGGCATCCAGAGCTCGGACGCAGGCGTGCGCTGCGATTCGCTGAAGGAGCTGGCGAACGTTTCCAGAGACGTGACGTTCGCTCAGGAGTTCATCAGCCGAGACGGACACCTCGTGCTGGTTAAAATCGTAGAAGACTCTAATGAGTGAGTACTTTTAGTGCTGATAAAACTCCGGCTCTATTTAAAAAAAAAAAAAAAAAAAAAGCTTTAATAACAAACTGAAAATACTTAAAGGATGTTTGTGTTTTTTGTAAATAAATCTTTGCTTTTGTGTGTCGCCCTCGTTCAGGAACAACTTGATCATGACGCACACGCTGACCGCTTTCATGGAGCTGATGGATCATGGGATTGTTTCGTGGGAGAACCTCTCTTTTATCTTCGTCAAGAAGGTTCTTTAGCTGCYGCCTCTCGTTTGTGTTTATTTTTTATTAATGCCTGTTTATTTTCTTAATCAATGTTGTTTTATTGTTTTTCTCTGCTCAGATCGCCGGCTTCGTCAACGCCAAGGTGACGGACGAGTCGATTCAGCAGGTGTCCCTGGACATCCTGGAGAGCATGGTGCTGAGCAGCCACGGGTTGTTTGTCCAAGTCAAACAGGAAGTCACCATGGAGAGACTTATCGCTCACTTTCAGGTGTAAGTAAAACAAAATAAATAAATCTGAGGAACTTTTCTGTCCAGCAACAAGTAGGGACATTATTTTTCCTTACATCGCATTATGCTTTAACGTTTTAAAGTTTTTATTTTGATCAAGCAGGTCCTGTAGTCTAATGTCTAATGTTTCTAAACTGATAAAAGTGAAGTCGCTTTAAATGAGTCACCTCTTTGTTGACAGATTGCAGCTCGATAAGAAGCAGCTTTAACTGCGACAGGAAGTTTTTTAAGCACATAAACTTTGATTTAATCAACATTCAAGTAAGTCTGAGAACTGAAGAGTCGTTTGTTGTTTATTTTTTAGGACAAATCTGCAGATACAAACCAAAGCCATGGCCCTGCTGATGGCCTTACTACAGACAGCGGGGGATTCAGACAGACAGGTGCTTCTGTCTTTCTTATCAGCTTTTCTTTTCAGTCAGTTAGAACCTCAAACCAATAATAAAAAACTATTTCACTAATCCTAATCCTTCATTTTCTTCCTGTACTTCCTGTACAGAAAAGGAGACAGTTGGTAACGATCCGTCCGTTTCCCTCCAGTGTCTCAGATTTCCTACAAACAGCGAGTCTTTCTGCTCCTCTGTCATCAACAGTTCCTTCATTCATTGTTCCGTCTCCTCCCTCTCTCCCTCTCTCTCCGTGTTACGAGGCTTTCAGCAGGTCCAACAAATCCAGCCTTCTTATCAGCACATTAGCTGTGAACAAAAGCCGTTGAGTCAGAGATGGTGGTACCACGTAGAGGTCAAAGTTCCTGACGCTAACCGTTCAGCCTCCGGTCCTCTGTCGCCACCTCCTGTTTAAAACCTGTTCCTGCAAACCTTTATTGTTGTGCCCTTTTTGTTTTCCAGGAAATGTTTGCATTTCTGAACAAGAAGAATCTCCGTCAGTACATTTATAAGGTGAATTATTCTCACAGTTATGTTGCAGATAGTTGTGAAAAAAATTGACAAAATGATTTTATTTATTTTATTTTATTTTATTTATTTATTTTTTCAGAACATTATCCTGAGTTCTGGGTTAATCCAAGATGAGATGGCCCACTACCTTTATGTCCTGCAGTCCGTTACATTAAATCATCTGGAGGATCGTATGAGGATGCCTCTGGACTGTTACAGCCAGGTGAGACCAACTTTTGATTTTTACATCTAGTCTTTGTTTTTTCCTGCTCAAATAGCAAACAGTTCAGTTTCTGAAATTATGATTTTATTATGTAAAGTAAAAAGTAGGCATTTCCAATATTAATAAATTATAATTTCATACAAATATGTGACCCATCATATTGAAATGAGGATTGAGTCAAATTTGGTCAAAATGACCTAACTACATTTTCAGATTCCTGCTTTAAAAACTACATTTTGATCAGCTTATCCAGAGATATGACTTCATTTGTCTTGTTGGTTATGATAATGCATTACTGTTTGGTCTGAATCCTAATTTTATGTAAATTTATTGAGTTATTTTTTTATGTCAATATAAAGAGGAAACTTCAAACAGTATTTGTATATTAAGATTTCCCAGTTGGAAAGAAACAAAAACATTGCTAGCTCACAGGGAAAAATTTTAATTATAAGGCGTTTTTCCTCAATATCAGGTTTTTTGTTGCTACTGCTCAAAAAMTGCTTCAAAAAAGTTTATGATTATATTTCAGACAGTTCTTGATAATTAAGGCATTAATTCATTATATTTTGAGAAAACGCAATTTTTGCACKCGTTTAAATCAAAACCCTCTATCTGCCTGTTTCTCCACATGCCTTTTTTGGATTAATCCTGGTTTCGATGTGATGGCTCACATATTAATATGCTTCTTCTTGGTCCAATGATTGTAACTGCAGTCCAACTTGTCTCATCCTCGCCTCAGGATCAGAGAGACATACTTCACACTCTGCGACAGGCGGCGTTTGAGACGGACAGCGAGAACAGCCTCAGTCACGAAAGACGCCGCTCGCTCTGCGCCAAAGAGTTCAGGAAGCTGGGCTTTTCTGTACGTTTCTGTCGTCAAACCGTTACTTTTTTAAAAAACCTGATAATCCTGAGTGTTTGGTGCATTTTTTTTTTTTTTATCAGAACAACAGTAACCCCGGTCAGGACTTGGTGCGAACGCCTCCTGGTCTTTTAGCTCTGGACACCATGTATTATTTTGCCACACACTATCCTGACGCCTACAGCAGGGTGAGATAATCGTAGAGAACTGCTTCATCGTGATCAGACGTGTACGTGATGCTGCTTTGCGATAATCTCAAATATTTAATGTCGCAGTTTGTTCTGGAGAACAGCAGCAGAGAGGACAAACACGAGTGTCCGTTTGCCCGTAGCAGCATCCAGCTCACGCTCATCCTTTGTGAAATCCTGCGGATCGGAGAGCCACGTAGGTTCAGCTGCAGCCGCGGGTCGAACCTTTTCCTTTTCTATAAACTGTTAAATTTATTCTTGTTGTTTGTTAACAGCCTCAGAGACGGGATCCGACTACCACCCCATCTTCTTCAGTCAGGATAAACTGCTGGAGGAACTTTTCTGTGTTTGTATTCAGCTCCTCAACAAAACCTGGAAGGAGATGAGGGCCACACAAGAGGACTTTGACAAGGTAGGAGAAACACTGTTTGTTTGTTTGTTTGTTTGTTTGTTTGTTTGTTTGTTTGTTTGTTTGTTTGTTTGTTTGTTTGTTTGTTTGTAAACTCGTCCCTCAGCAGGCTGTCGATAGCTTGAAGCAGAGATGGGGGCTCATGAATCGGACTTAGACTTGAATCGCAGTTAAAGTGCCTGTGACATGAAATTTTTAAACTAAATATAAAGACATTTATTTGAAAGGTAACATCAATAGCATATTGCAAAAATAATTCCCACTGCTGAGATGAACAGTTGTTGAGATATTTGCCTGTGAATTAACAGGAAGTGATGTCAAAGGGGAACATCTGCATGGAACAGAGCGTTGATAAAATGGCTAAGGACACAGAGAAGAATCTGAGGTTTCTTTAGATATTTTGAGTCGAGAGAGACGAGTCAGAGTTCAAATAATATTGTTTCAATAAACAAAGACTAGAGAGATTTCTTTCTTATAGAGTTCCCCTATGATGTCACTTCCTGTTTCACTTTGGCTGAGCCAAGTTCAAAAGAAAATCTGCCATTTGTGTGACAAAAATGGGTAAAATCACRTTTTATGCAAGGTTTATTATATAAAAATGTGTTTTATCGGACTTTTTGTATTTGATGGATAGGCATGTCACAGACACTTTAAGTCCCTTCTATTAGAGACTTGGACTCGACTTGGACCTGTGGTTTGAGACTCGCGAACAATGCAAGTCTTCACTGCCCGGCTCACGATGCTCACTCCCTCAGTACAMCTCCATGCTCCGCTCTGCTSCCCCTCGGAGGGGCCTGCACCGTCCAGTGTTAATGAAGCGTACCCTACACGACAAACAGAGCTTCAGCGAGACTTTACTCAACGCCACGACAAGAGACTGGCAAAGTGTGGAGTCCAAATCCAAAATTAGTTTTTGTGATGRCTTGTGCAGCCCTTTTAAACTTTAAGGATTCTGGTTCATCATCTTCGCTGACATGCTTTTATCCATTTAAAAATACTTTTTTCTGTCATTTTATTGTCAAATCGCAGCAGACTTGTTGGATTTGTTCTTTATCAGTGGTAAGATATAATTACAGGAAGACTACAAGTGCAAAATACAGTTAACAATATTCTAAATGCTTGATTATTTCAACCTTAACCTTATCTGTATTTTAAAAACAGTATGTTTTAATAGTATTATTAAAACATACTGTTTTARTAATTGATTAAAATATAGTATTATAGAATATAATCTAGTATAGTTAGAATAGCTTTGCTCAAACTGACAGTTAAGTAATACATGCAACGAGACTTGGACTTGAGGTCRTGAGACTTGACTTGGACTTGCAAAAAAAAACAGACTTGCACACATCCCTGGCTTGAAGTGTTCTGAAAGGAGAGGCTGAAACATCACATCCACAAAACCCTGTGACCTCCTGACCTTTCTGCTGCCGGCCACCGTCCCCGAGCGTCCTTTTGTTTTCCCTCGTGACCAGTTACCCAGGGTGCTCTGGGGCGAGGACAAAAGGGGCACGAGTTGGACAAAGAGAAAGGTGGTGAGCAGCAGAAACCGAGGGAAACCAGAGAAACAAAAAGCTCAGACCTTCAACAGTAAAACACGAGAGGAGGGACGTAAAAACGTCTTTAATGAYGGATTTTTAAAGATTAAAGATTGTGTGAATGACTCTCAGCTACCACCACACTGAATGTTGGGTCTCTGTAGGGTTTTAGGGACCACAGTCCGCTGCCTTTTATTGGTCACTGGAGCTGGGGGGACGGGGGGGAGGGTCACGTGGGAGAGGTGTGTGCACGTGTGTGAGAGAAGCAGGGTGTCTGTTTACAAAACAGCCAAAGGCTCGCAGCTCTCCTGACACACAGCTGACCTCCCAGACTCAGCTCGGCTCAGCATCACCGTTAGTTTTCTGTAACAAGTGGATTTGTTTTAAAAAAAAAAAACAAGGCTTTAGAGGAGAAATGGAGGTAAGCTTGTGTTTTTATGAATAAAATGAGATTAATCCCTAACTTTCCACATGTATGTAAAAAGGTTTTCTGTTAGGAATAAAGTGGTATTTCTCAGCACCGATTAATGAGGTTAAACAGGAAGTAGCTGTTTGTGACKATGTCAAAGTGGACCTTTTTATTTTTCTCCTGGTGTTACATTAATTCACTCACCTGTTTGTCTTAAACACAATAGGAAAATTAAAAAAAATCTGTGTTGACTTAATGTTGAGTTTTTTCTGAATCTAAATGAAAGTAAATCCCTGATATCACACTTCAGCTGCCGATCGTTTGCAATCAGAAATGATTCAGGTCAGCAGGAGCGTTTGTGGAGTTTTATAGGTTTTCATATAGATTTTTCTCCACTAACAGCTGAGCCAATCATAGATTTTAAACCCTGCAGTTTGACTCTGTCCATTTTAATGARCTTCACTTTAACAAGTCGGGCAGAAAACACAGTTCAGGTTTTTGTTTGTGTGTGTGGCACATAGTGGGGGGATTATTGGATGTGTGTAAAGATAAGAGGTTTGATTCAGATGGAGCTACTTAAAAAATAACCTTTTTTACTTTAGCGAGGATGTGGGAACAGCAGCTGCTCTAATACCCYGTGTTTCGACTCCCCTCCTCAGGTGATGCAGGTGGTGAGGGAGCAGATCACCAGGACCCTGTCGACGAAGCCCACCTCCCTGGAGCTCTTCAAAAACAAAGTCAACGCTCTGAACTACAGCGAGATCCTGAAGCTGCGGCAGACGGAGCGGCTGCATCAGGAGGAGACGCTCGCCCCGCCTGTGCTGTGAGTGGCAGCTTTACAGAGTTCACCATGGCAAACGTGAAACTTTAGATTTTTTTTTTTAAATCACGGTTATGAGAGGGAATAAACCGGACCACCTGCTCCACATCGTTTCCACCCCTTTGAAACCAACACGTGGACTGTATAAACCTGTAAATCCACCATTGTGTTTGTGTGTTTTCCCTCTCCAGCGAACTCAAAGAGCGCCTGAAGCCCGAGCTGCTGGAGCTGATCCGCCAGCAGAGACTCAACCGGCTGTGCCAGGGAACCATGTTCAGGAAGATCAGCAGCCGACGAAGGCAGGGTGGGACGAACAACACGTCCTCACACCACAGACCAGGACGCCTCACATTAACACCGACCACTGTTGTTGTGTGTTTCTYCCGTCAGATAAACTGTGGTACTGTCGCTTGTCGCCCAATCACAAAATGCTTCATTTCGGAGACGTCGAAGAAGAGACGGAAAACCCACCAATAGAAACGYTGCAAGAGAAGAGTGAGTTATAGCAAAAAAAGCTTTGTTTTTTCTTTTGTTTGTTTGCAGTCTTGTATAAAGTACCACAAAGTGAYACTTGAGTAAAAGTACAAGTATCTTACCAACAAATACTTTGGTAAAAGTGAAAGTCTCCTTTAGTATTACTTGAGTAAAAGTCTTAAAGTATCTGACATTTTTTGTACTTAAGTATTAAAAGTATTGATTTAAAATGAGCAGTTAGATTTTCTGTAATGACATTTATTAGGAGGTGACCTCCCCAAAAAAACTGCAGCAATGACTGTTGTATTAAAATAATTAATTTATGTTAAATTTAGGATGCACTAGTCCAGCTGTTTCAGTTTATTTACATATATCTGCTCAAACCTTTTCTCCAAAATAAAAATCTATCTGAGGGCTGCGGCCAAATGCAAAAATATAATTCATGAAATACAAATACTTCTTAAGTACAGTCCTTTTATTTGAATGATTATGTCCTGCTGGAGTGTGACATGAATACGGTATCAGAAATTTCTATATTTATACTTCTCATTCAACCACAATTAAATTCACTCTATCTAGGAGGCACAGTTTACATGGATAGTATTTATTTTTTATAATAACAAGCTGGAATGAAAACAAGCAAAAATGAAATAAAAGTAACGACTTTTTACTTTGTCTTTTTTTTTAAATGTAAGGAGTAGAAGTAAAAAGTAAGCTGAAAAAATTACTCAAGTAAAGTACAGATACCCAAAAGTTCTACTTAAGCACAGTAACAAAGTATTTGTACTTACTTTACAACTCGGTTTGTTTGTCAGGGACTGTGTACAGAAAAAAAATCAATTCAGTAAAGATGTGCTGCAGCRGATTTTAGCTATCGCCTCATTTCCACCCGCAGGTAAAACTTACAGAAACAAGTGCGTACTGTGTAAAACATCATAGYTCTCTACACCAGTAGTACACACTCTGTAAAGAAAAAGTCTCACAATAAACGACTCTTTTGTATTTGTAACTTCTRGTTGTGCAGTTTGATTCATGAAGAGTGTGCGAATCTTTTTTACACTCACAGCATTTAAGTTTGATTCTAGCTTCCTGTTTGTTTCTGAATCTTGTTTTGTTGCTGCTGTCTTCAGTTCCAGTGGCAGATATTAAAGGTTTGCTGACGGGGAAAGACTGCCCTCACATGAAGGAGAACAAAGGCAAACAGAACAAGGTCATTCCAGCTCCGTGTGTTTCTTTGTTTGTGTTGTTGTTGTAACAAACTAACCACTGTCCCGCTGCAGGATGTGCTGGACCTGGCCTTTAGCATTACGTACGACGTGGAGGAGTACAGCCTGAACTTCATCGCCCCCTCCAGATCCGACGTGAGCCCGGACCCTGAAGCTCCATGTTTGTAGAACTTCTGTCGGTTTTGATCTGAATGCTTTTTTCTCTCTCTCTCTCTCCATCTGTCAGTTCTGCCTGTGGACAGATGGACTGAGCGTCCTCCTGGGACGGGACATGAGCAGCGAATCCATGAAAAGCGAGCTGGAGATCCTCCTCTCCATGGAGATCAAGCTCCGCCTCCTCGACCTGGAGAACGTCCCCATCCCCGACGGCGCTCCCATCGTCCCGAAACCTCCGAGCAACTACAACTTCTGCTACGACTTCAGCCAGACGGAGCAGTAGAGCACACAGGAGCTGGACCAGTGTGTTTGAAACAAGACTGTGCGTGCGTGCGTGCGTGCGTGCGTGCGTGTGTGTGTGTCTGTGTGTTGAATCTGACTTGTGCACCTGTGCACTTCTTTTATAACTTCAACTATTTTATAGCTTCACCTTGAAGCAGGAGAACCTGTGAGAATTAAAAAAACTACATTTTTTGCTCTTCACTGCTCAGGAAGCTTAAAAACACAAACCCACCTGCGTCAGGGTACTTTACATTTATTTTTTAAATTTTCTAACTGCTTCTAAAAAGAATGTCTCGACTTGCACAGCTTGTTTTCTTTAAAGGAGTTATTGATTTGAACACCTTCCTGCGGCACGGTCCAGGTAATTCTGGCAACGTTTGGGAGATAAACGTATTTTTTAAATCTCTGACTGCATCAGGTACATGTTTAGTTTGTTTTGTTTCAATCAATATTTGATGCTGGCAGTGACTTTTATATTATTTCTGTAAATCTGTGCGAAGCCAGACGAGAATAATCTGTTTTTGGAATCGAATGTTTTTAAGTTTAAAATTGTTGCTTTTCGTGTGAGGTACTCTTTATGTGGCATAGTACGGTGCACTGCCCAGAAACTGACAAAACCTTCAGATTTTCCTGCATCTCGACGGAAGAATGAGGTCTTTTCATTTCAATACAACTGATATTCATCTGTGATTCACTTGAATCAGCATAAAAACACACACAAAGTGAAGAGACGTGTCTGTCTTTTTTTTTTTCCATTGCAGCCAAAACTTTGGTTTATTTTTAAATGACATCCTTAGTTTACATCATTCAGAGTTTAAATGGTACAAAATTACTAAGAAAAAATAAAAGTGCAGGAAGTTTGTTTTAAACTTACAAATATCCTCAGATTTCAACAGAAACTAGATTTGTCTGCTTTTTGTGGAACGATGCATTTTTTTAACACGTCTGCTTGTGTTAGCAAAATATCCCACTGGACAGATTTTAATGAAACTCATTAATGCATAATGGACAAAAAACAAAAAGATAACAGCAAATTTTATAAATATTAGACTGAAAATTTAGAGAATCATCCTCAACACTTAATCTGAGCACAACTAATCTGTTCAACTGTTCCAGTCGATCTCTCCTGGAGCACTGGATGAGTTTAGTTAAACCTTTCAGAAAGTGATCCCTGGATAAGCTCCGAGTCAGCCTACTTCAAGATGGCCGCCACAGCTAATTAATCATAGTTAACACAAAACGTGAGGCGGTGGTAGCAGAGAGTCATCCTCAACACATCTTCTGAAAACTTACAGAATTTGTCAGGTTAAAACAATGCAATTAATGAAAAGCAAGAATTTTAATTCCTTAAAGTTTGAGTCTGCATCAGATAAGAATGCTGAAATATTTAAATAAGTTAAATAAAACCTGTGCAAAGCTACTTTTAAATGAATAAAAAATAATCACTTAACTTGAAATGATCAGATTATAGTTTCAGATAAATCACTTTTGTTTGAAAAAGGATGGAGTTTAAATCTTTTTCACTTCCTGTTTTATCTGAACTGTGCTGACGAGGGGAAATGTTGTTGTTTTTTTTTGTTTGAAATATATTTAAGGACAAAGGCAGGGTGATCAGGGGTTAAATATTAAACAAAAATCCAACCCCTTTGAGTCAAAATAAATTGTTAAATGAATTTTTTTTAAAGAAACTAATGTTACAAACAGATCCTGCTGCTGCTTTATGTTCAGACAAACCTTATAATCCTCATTAAGTCTGTATATTTAATGATGATTCATCACTTTAATTATTACGGTAAATTGCTTTCATTTTATCTGTGAACCATCTGTCCTACAAAGAGCAGCAGTTTGAACATGTTTTAGTTTTAGTTCATGTGCAGAGGCTGAACTGCCGCAGTCATAATCCCTCAGTCAGAGTCAGGTCAACCCCACCTATATATTTGTGATGAACGTTTTCCAGGAAGGGCAGCTGTGATTGGAGGAGATCCACCGCCCTGATCGAGATGTTTTTACACATCGACACGTCGACYGTCTTCAGACGCTTGCAGTTCTGCATCAGGAGGAACAAAGACCTGCAGGATTTACACAGAGACTCAGRATCCACTCAGTTCTCTCGTTTTTTTACACTCATCACTTCTGTTTGTTATTTTAACCATTTATAGAAAAAAGATTTGTTTCGTCTTCAGTTCTTTCAAAGAGCTTTATTCTCTGAAATCTTCCTTTTAGCTTTTACTTATTCTCATTGATTTGAGCTTTTAGCCACACTTTAGCTAATTTTAGCTTAAAACTACTGTTTTGCAAATTTTTTTTGCTTTAAGCTACAGTTTAATTAATTTTAGCTTGTAGCTACTGTTTGGCCAATTCTAGCTTTTTGCTACTGCTTGACTAGTTCTAGCTTTTAGCTATGGTTTTAGTTACAGTTTGTAGCACTGAACTACAGTTTTGCTAATTTGTTCCTTCTAATCTGCTAATTTTGTCATTTAGCTGTTTTTCTAATTCTAACATGCACCTACTGTCTCGCTAATTTTAGCTTTTAGCTAGTTTTTTTTCTCATTTTCACTTTTAGCAAGAATTTGCTCATTTTGGCTTTAAACAAGTTTTGCTAATTTTAACATCCACCTACTGTCTCACTAATTTTTGTGAGTTTTTCCTCATTTTAACTTTTAGCAATTGTTTGCTAATTTTAGCAATTTTAGCTTTAGACTAGTTTTGCTACATCTCTTTAGCTACTGTGACTAATTCTAGTTTTTAGCTATGGTTTTACTCATTTTTATTTTTAGCTACAATTAGCTAATTATTGCTTTTAGATTTAGTTATTAAATCTATTAAACTTAGTTTTAAGCTGCCATTTTTGCTGATTTTGTCATTTAAGCTGTTGGGTAGTTTAGCTTTTTTAGATTTTAGTTTTTTAAGTTTGACTTTGCTTATTTCATTTTCAACAATTTAATTTAAAAAGACTTCATCAAAAACAGAATTTGCTCCCGGCCGTGTTTCCTGCTGCAGGCGGAGCAGCAGCGGGTGAAGCTGCGGACCACCCACCTGTCTGTGATGTTGTTGCAGCAGGACAGGTGGAGGTGCTGCAGCCGGTGCAGGTGGGGCACAGCTTGAGCCACTCCGCGGTCGGTGATGCCCGGACACTGGCTGAGCGCCAGGCTGGTCAGGCTGCGGCAGAACCGGCCCACCGACACCAGGCTGGCATCGGTGATGTCCGGCAGCATGGAGAGGGACAGACACTGGAGCTCTGGGTGACGGATCACCTGAGGAGAGAAAAGACAGAAACACACACACAGTCAGCTCAGGATTCACAGCTAACTCCCTTTAAATGATGAAAGCAGGACGTTGGGTCCAAACAGCCACCTGTGTGATGCTGCTGTCGGTCAGCTTGGCGCAGGCCGACAGGTCCAGCTCCCGCAGCCTCTTCAGGGCTAAAAGCGACGCTCCGGCTTTTTGTTTGAACTGCTGCAGCTCGTCCTGGGTCACCATCTTGGGCCGCTCCTCGAACGGCATCCGAGGGGGCTTGAAGAAGCCCATGTTGCCGAACGTCCGGGTAAAACTGGGACCTCGGTCTCCCTGCGGGACGAGCACGAGTAGATTTTTCAAACTAAGTGACATTTTCATGGAAAAGCTTCGTGCGGGTCCTGGTTCTGCTCACCGTCTCGTCGTCAGGCTCACTTTGGGTTTTTTGCACCATCCCCAGCAGACCCCAGTCGGTGATTTCTTTGCACCAGCCGAGCCGCAGAACCACCAGCTTCTGCAGGGAGGTGGCGATGGCGCACACCGACAGGTCGGTCACGTTGACGCACGACGTCAGGTCCAGCTCCCGCAGAGAGTCTCCGAGGAGCTGCGTCAGCGAGAAAACTGCCAGATCCTGACGAGAGGAGATCGGTTATTCTTCCTGCTTCTCACCTGCAGCCAAATCACAACCACAGATGTTCACCGACCCTGACGTAGGTGCAGCTCTTCAGGTTCAGCATCTCCAGGTTGGCTCTGCTGGGTTTGGATCCCTTCAGGCCTTTCACCATCTCTGTCCCACTGATGTGAGGACATTCRGACAGATCCAGAGACGTCAGGGAAGAGACGGACAGCAGGTCAGCGAGACCTGAGGACAAATAAAACATCGCTGATGGAAAGAGACAGGAAGTTTGTAGCTTCCAACCCATAATAAGATAAAGATGTGACCTCATTTACTGCTGATTTAAATATCTTTAAATAAAACTAATAAACTGACTTAACATCCAGAAGACTTTTAACTTGTAACAATTACGGTGAAAATAAACCATAAACAATCATTTCTTAATATAAGCCGATATCTGGGCTCAGTTGTTCAAACGTAATCTGATCAGATTTGGACAATGAATCAGATAAATCTATAAAAATGTGTCTTTAAAAACAAAAAACWGATTCTAAAATCCTGGCTTTAATCTGGATCAAACAGTTTGTGTTGGAAAGKTTTTAGTTCGATTTGGATAAAACATCTGGATTATTCTGATACCAACAGTTTGGTGGATTTCAAGAACGAAATACGATTTAAATTAAATTCCAACTTGTCAAATAAACATTAATCATGTAGTAGATTTATATTTATTATCCATATCTTTACTCGATTTTCAAACCACAGGTGAAATTAAAGACTCCTTTACCCTACAGACCTGTGAGGTAGTAATAAAATAATCTTCTCAGAAGCAAAAGTTGAATAACAAAAACAATTTTAACTTTAAGTAATAAAAACACATCAGCACAAAGATCACTAAAAGAGCAGAGGTGCAGATTCACTTTAACCTAACTGCAGCAAACCAAAGATAAATCTAACTTTTTATGTTTCAAAGTTAAAATTTTAATGTTAAAATTAAGTTTTAAATTAAAAAGTATAAAAACTTATTTTATTTTTAGTTAGTATATATG